ATATTGTTTATTTTGATTTGCACCCCCTCCCTGGTGATTGTAAGCCACCCTGAGTCCCCTCAGGGAAAAAGGCGGCCTATAAACCCTAATAAAAATGTCAAATGTCAAATGCTCCTCTTTCCTGTAGTTCTGCACTTTTTTCCCCTTGGAAATCCATTCCTACTCCAGCACCATTCCAAGGGTGGTTTATCGCAAATTGCATAGCTTAATGTAGAGATTCTCAGTCATCCAGGTTAGGGTTGACATGGAAAAAGTGCAGATTACAGGAATCAGGAACACCAACTCAGGTGACCCTGAGGACACAGATAAACCTCCAAGTGGCCTCAAGGACTCTCTAAAAGGATGTAAATAACCAGTTCTGTCTGCAAGGAATATAGACCCTCACTATCCTGTCAGAGCTGAAGAAACTTCTGGAATTCCCCAGCCAGCATGTCCAGAATTGCCAAAGTTGTGAAAAACGGCAAATCGAGCACATCTGTGACCAAACATAGTACAGTACAAATGGTCCTCGACATACGACAATTAGGGCCAGAATTGATGTTACTAGTGAAATGAATCATGCCCAGTTTTATGGCCCTTTTTGCTACCATTAAGCGAACCACTGTACTCAAGTTTGGATCTGTGATGATATATAAGTTCAAGGAACTTTTTTCAGCGCCATTGTAACTTTAAATGGTGATTAAATGAATGATTCTTAAGTTGACAACCTGTATGTGGATCTGAATAAAAACGACTTGACTTGTTTAAGTGGGATCACTTTCATTGTGTAAGTTTTATAAAGATTTAAGACTTGTGGTACTTGTTAAAACATGCTCGCAAACTTTGCAGTGGTAACTGTTGCTGTTTTCTGCAAATATAAGGATATTATCGAAACAAATCTAGGTTTGTTTTCAGCCATAAAAACTTTAAACAGGGTACTGCAGGCTAAGTTGATAACTGCAGTTGTTTATATGTTCTGAGTCTGAATATGTTGCAATTTCTCCCCCATTTTGTGTCACTTTGGTGTGGAAATCCCTAGGACCGTTGATCTCAATAAGTTACTTTTGTAGTCATTCCATCTGGGAAGCATCTTAAACTGCTTTGGCCAGTCTTGATTTCTCCACTGCACTCATGCCCTAGTCCCGTGATGGCGAACCTATGGCATGCGTGCCACAGGTAGCACACGGACCCATTGTTAGGGCATCTGAGGCCTTGCCCTGTCTTCTCCAGGGTGCATGCGTGTGCTGGCCA